GTCAGAATCGAGTTCGAATCAGTCATCAGAGTTGTGTTTTGGGATTAAGATCGGATCCAATTCAGCTATCGGGGTCAAATCCCAATTTGAAAGTCGAGTTTTGGATCGAGTGTTGGGGTTGGATCTAGATTTAGGTATCGACATCGGGATCGAATCTCAATTTGGACGTCGGGTCTTGAGTCAAGATCGAATCTCAGTTCAAGTTTTGAGTCCAATGTCAGGGTTGGCCAGTTCGAAAGTCGAATCTCGAGTCGAGGTAGGGTCCCAATATGAAAATTGAGTCCTGGATCTAGTGTCAGAGTCGGATCCCATTTGGAAAATCGAGTTCCGCGTCGAATTTTGTTTTATGATACAATAAAACTAAATAAAGTATTTTCAACATTTTTCGTCCAAATAAAGACTAAAATAATTTCTCCATATTGAATTGTAGATGATTTAATTGCGTAGATATCTAATTTTGACTATTTTTAAAGATCTGTGTATATCTTCCTCAATATATGATAATAAACTCTTAACTAGTGATAATATATGTAATTATGTTTTATAAGACAGTTTGGGAGGTAACGCTTCCTACCAAGAATTTTTCAATATCTTTAGCTCAAGCCCAAAATCTTTAATTGGGGAAGGAATACCTCCATCCTCTACAATCCTTTGATGATATATACCTTCAATTTTAAGATTTATGTCTCAAATTCTATACATCTTCACGAACCAAAAAATTAGTATCGATTCATGATAAAATATTTTATACTTTAGGTTAGAAGGTCGTAACAAATCTTTGCATCTAATCATTTCATGACGATAGCCTCAAGATCCCTAGGTCTATACAATTCCAACATCTTTGATTGTTTACACCACAAGTTTTTTGAGCTAAATGTTGAACTTGTAAAATAAAATAAACAATGATAGCAGTGAAAATGATTTTTTCTTGAAAAAAGAAGGGATATTTACACAATAATTTATATAAAAGAATAATCAATGAGGATATAGTTTAAGTTATCGCATTATTTTGTGGTTGTTATTGTTCTCTTAATAGTTGTTTTGTTTCTCCACTGTTATTTTTCCTTTTTTTCATACCTATTTTGATATGTTGTACACGAGCCGAAGATCCTTTGAGAACAACCTCTTCACCTCCACGAGGTAGCGGTATGATCTTCGTAAACTCTACCCTCCCCAAATCCCACTTATGAATTTCACTTCGTATGTTGTTGTAATATACAATGAGGATATACTACCTGATTGTCATGAAAATGGAGGAAAATATAAGTTTGAAGAACAATATTGTAGTGGAAATAATCACTTATGACCATTGAGGCATTGACCACTTGCGAATTGAATAAAAAAATGATATTTCAAATTTTTTGTGTTCAAATGAATGTCTCTCAAGAACATATTTATGCAAGTGCTTTTTCACCTTGATGTTTGTGCACAATTTTCCAATAGGACTACTTTTATCTATGAACAATTAGTCTTTGAAAAGTGTTAAGTTTAATTCCAGCAATTAGCTCCACACCTTGTTTGATACCAATGCTTAAGATATATAGTAGCAACTTCTTTGGTTGGTTGATTGATTAATCCAAAATATAAACATTTCATACAATGTCCTTTTATCAATTTCAGATGCATTAAAAGAGGACAAGGAGATGAAGACTCGTAAGAAATGTAATTATGATTTAGCTGGAACTTCTGCGTCGAGTGAGATCACTCAGGAACACTGGGAAGACATGCTTAACCAGAACTCTGATTCATCAGAAGAAGAGGAAATGGAGATGCAAAGGAGAAACGCTGAACAGAAGAGCTGGAGGACCGATGAAAGTCGTGTACGACGCATGCACTTAAGGATAGAAGCAGCATTCAACAATTCTTGTTCTGATTCCGATGATCCCTCTCAAGACCCTGATGATGATATACACACAAACATTGAAGGCTTGGCTGATAGATTGCAAAAGCTGGTTGCAAGTCAAGAGGAAGAGTTGAAGGAAAGCAAAGGGGAAAATGATGATGTTGGTAAAGATATGGCACCTGAGTCTAACTCAGCCTAAAAAGATAGCTCAGAGGGAAGGATTGTTCAAATCTGCAACCAATGTGGACAAACTAAGGACAACCAGGGATGGCAGATCTATGAATAGTTCATTGCTTCAGACTGTTCAAGCACAGTGAGAACATTGTTTTTGTTGAAAATTGTTTTTTAAGTTACTGCAGTAATTTTCTTAGTCGCCTAATACTTAAGTTGCTTAAGTTTAGGATGATTTGAATTTTAAACTTTTATGTGGTTGTTTTAGTTTGTTGAGATATTTTAAGTTCTTGAATTTTGGATTAAGCAGATGTTTTGTTGTAGTTGGCTATTTAAAGTACTCCCATGCTTAAGAACCCTTTTTTTATGATCTGTCTGCGCCAGCTTTCGCGCACCTCGGAAAAGCACCAAAGGTAAGAATACAACCAAAAAGTGTCGTAAGCTGACTGTAACACGAGCAGCAAAGATAAGGAACGATGATGCAATAGAAATTGCAGCAACTGAAACTGTGGAAATAGCACAGGCTATAGAAGAAAAGACAAGACTCACTGGTATGAAAGCTGCAAAGAACTGGATATTTTTCTAATAACTCTTATGACAAGAGTTTGATCTGTTCTGCTGCTGAAGTAGGAACATGGCCACGGAGACAAATCTGGAGGGAAAAAGCTCCACACAAAAGGGTTTTTTTCCGTTGGATTTTGGTCCATGAAGTGGCCCTTAGCCAGGATAGTTTACAGAGAAGGGATGACTTTATTAGAACTCTACTAATTCTGCAATTAGCGTAAATCATAATCTAGCTTGAGATCCATCAACTTGGTATTGCTACTACCTATGAAGTACATTTATTAGACTACTCTCAACGTTGTGATTTTGGTTGGCAATGCCAATATCCATATTGAAAACCATATATAACGAAGTATCATCATCGTAGGTTGACTTATGGAGTTCAACCCAAGCAAACCTCTGCAGCATAACAGTATCTCTCTTATCCCAGAACTGGTTTTCATCAACTTGCCATTATTTGTCAGCATTATCAATAAGAAGTAATTTGTCATATTACCTTTTGGATGTAGCACAAAATCTGACTTCTATTTGAGGAAGCACGTTAGGAGGTGAAGGAGGGACCTCATTCCTTTTTTTGCCTTCATTAGTATGTCTCACCTGAATGATTCTTCCAGGATCACAGGCACCTGAATATGTTGGAGCCAAGGGCATCTTAAAGACCAACAGAATATGTGCAATCAGATAAGATAGATTTTAAGGAAAAACGATAGCCAAGAAGTGCACCTGTGGACTCAAATGACGACAAGGAATTGAATCAGCTCCACCTAGCATATCACGACATAGGCTTTAAAGAGGGTTTTCATGATGGATTCTCAGATAGCCTTCCTCTCAGTTCCCCTTACTTATTGTGAACCACAATTTTACTTTCCATCTTACAAGCTCAAATTAAATCAGGACGCATGTGTAAGTGTGATAAAATGAAAAAAAATCTTATCACTATTAAAAGACTAGTAAATGCAGTTTCCTACGTACCCAGCAAAGAGAAGGGAATGATGCTGCAATTGAAAGTACCAATCAGTTAAAACAGGTCAATAGTGGGACATCAAAATGAAGAAAAGGTGCAAATGATTGGAAGTTGGAGAACTGATTCAACTGTTTCAGCTGCTGGAAACAGCACTGATCCTAGAAGATAAGCCAGACTCACTAGCATGGGAGCTACAAAGAACTGAATCATTCACTGTTAACTCTTAGTGCAAGAGTTTGATCTCTTTTTTATTGCTAAAAAGGAACATAACCATGGAGACAAATATGGAGAAACAAAGCACCAGACAGTGGCATTTTTCCACTTGATTTTGGACCCTGAAGCTGCCCCTTACCCAGGATAATTTACAGAGAATATGTAAAAGATGTCATTTGTCTGAATGCAGGGATTACAAATCATCTCTTCGTACATTGTCCCGTAATATGCATCTAGGCAATTATTCCTGACCATATTCAATGATAAGAGGGTAATGCCAAGAACAGCAAAATAATTAATGCAATGCTGGTAATACAAGGTCCTAAACAATGAGAGAAAGAAGATCTGGGACACAAATCCTTCCTGCATATGCTGGATTGTGGAAATAAAGGAACCAGAGAGTTTTTGAAAGAAAATCTGGTAACATCTTAAGGTTAAAAAAAGATGAATTCCCTTTTAAGATTTTGGCGTAAAATGTAGAAAGCACAATGAACTTTCTCTGTCTGTTACAGTAGGCATAATCATGATGTACATAATCAATGCAGCAATGGAAGATTTTAGCTTCAAAAGCATTGGGCCACCAATGTTTTTGACTGAACAAAAAAAAGTAATGTACTTCCCTTTTAGGTTATCAATAAATTGATTCGACATAATTTTCCTAACTTGAGTGTTAAAATTGTATTTTAGAAGCCTACTGCAAAAAGTAATAACTAGAATTTTAGATCACTCCAGAATTGTCCCCATCGGCTTTTCTGTCTCTTTCTTTAAAGGAAAGAAAGTTTAGTTCTAAATTAGGATACAAACCAAACAAAGTGAAGTAAACACAAAAATCAGTCATACATTTTGATCTAAAATAGATATTTCCTCTAATGAAGTACCACTGACCATGAAAGTTGAATATTGCAAGAAAGTAGAATTCAAATTCTGACCACACTGGAAACACACACCAAAACAGTCCATTTGACAAAAGTTATTCAGAAGAAGTGATTGGTGTCTCTCTCCTAGCAGAAACCACAGATTCTCTAAGGAATGACTGCACTTCAAGAATGTGAATGCATCCATCATCAAATTTACTGTAAGCGGTAACAGAAATACAGTGTGGGATGTGTAGTAGCACATGCTACAAATTTGATCTCTATCACATATCAATAAGACTAACAAAATACAACATTAAGTTATAACAAAATATGTGAAGTTGCATGATCAAGGTGTATAAAGCAAATAAATCTTCTCTTCCGATTTGGCCTTAGACAAGATAAAGGTGTTGCAATCTTTATAAGACATCAACCATCTTGAATTGCTCAGACAATATATCTCATTTGCATCTCAATATGGTGGGAATTATCTTTGCAAAGTTTATTTACTAGAGAACGGAAAATTTTTTCTCTGACAACATGACCTAGCCTAAGCATGTAAACTAAAATGGATAAAGACTCATCCAACTTATCTGCTTGAGAAAGATGATAAATCAGTTCCTCAAAAGTTTTTCTCCTTGGTCTGAGCCTACTCTTCATCATACTGCTCAACCAATCTAGCCCCTCTGTTACATATCCCTGCTTGATTAATCCAAGTACGATAGAATCATAAGTCGATGTTGCTGGTTTGACACCTCTATCTTGCATATCGTTCCACAATGATTTCGCTTCCGAAACATGGCCGATCTCACAAAGTTTCTCAATTAACACTGTATAAGAAGCAGGTGATGGTTGCAACCCCTGCTTTAACAGTTCATATAAAAACTGAAGACCTTCAGCTATTTTCCCATTCTTGCAGAAACCCTGAATAAGAGAAGTGTATGTGACCACATCATGGGTAACACCACTCTCAGCCATTTTATTGAACAAGTTGTGAGCTTCTCCTACTCTTCCATAAAGACACAGCCCGTGAATCATGGTATTATATGTCACTGTGGTCTCTCCATATCCTTTATCACACATTTCCTTATAAAGACTTTCAGCTTCATTTAGACGGTTAGTTGTTAAATAACCATGGATGAGTGTGTTATATGTGTATTCATTGGGATTGAATCCCTTTTGAATCATCTCAAACCATAATTTCCGGGCATCTCCAACCGATTTCATTTTACAGAGACCATTAATCATTGTTGTATACATAACCATATCCGGAGCATAGCCTCTATTCTTTAGATCATTAAATATCCTAAAAGCTTCACGCATCTTTCTTGTTTCACATAGTCCCTGAATAACATGCTGATAAGTGAATATATCAACAGAACAATTAGTTGCAATCATTGAATGGAGAAGAGATGACAGTCTAAAGTAATCTCTGTTCTTACATGATCCATAAATCAATTTATTAAAAGCAACACTACTAGGGGCATGCCCAGCTTCCAAAACCCGTCGAAGAAGTTGATGACCTTCTGGAAAATTGTTCTCCATACAAAATGCTTGAATCAAGTGCCCAATCGTATCTACATCTGCTAAAACACCAGATTCTGTCATATCCTCGTACAATTTCCAGACAATGTCAGTTCTTCCAGATCGGACAGAATCTGAAAGGGCTGAATTCCAAATTCTCAATGATGGGCAGTGGCCAACACCTCTCAATTCAGTAAACACGTCGAGGGCATCCTCAATCAATCCATTTTCACAAAGACACTGAATGTAGGCCTCCAAACAACTAGGTTGAGGCACAAAGTTCATATTTTGCCGAAAACATTTGGCTGCACTGGCTGCCTTGGCTTGTACAAGCCCACTAAATATGACTTCATCAGAGAACTGATCCCTCGAAAAACCATTTTGAGAACTAAGCCAAAAATGAAACCGAAGCGACAACATAACATTTTTTTGTGCCTTCAGAACCTCAGTATAGAATCTTGGATCAGTAAAATTAACAGTGGGGAAATCAGATAACAATATTTGTTCCCATCTGGGTCGTGTCCGGATGACTTTGCAAACATCTTTAGCTATCTCAGCAAAGCTCTGTTGCTCACTTTGATGATTTACTGAACTTGATCGATCTGCGTTTTGCGTAGCAACTTCACCTTCAACCCCACCATTACTTCCAGCAATACTTAGGTTACGGATTGGGGAACTAACATTTTGGCGAGTGCACAAGCTTGTTACAAAAAAGGGAGGTCTAGCCATTCAAATCTGCAGATTGTTTAATCAAATTCAAATGGGTATCCACTATACAGAAATGCCAATCAAACATACAGCTAAAATACATGAATTTACATGGAATGCCTCTTCATATCCATATACATTTAAGAATCTACAAATAGCAATATGAGATATAAATGCAAAAAAGAATTTCAAAACAGCAAATTCTTCAAATAAAATTCAAACACATGAATTTACACGAAATGCCTTGTCATGTAAACATTTATTTCATAAATGAACAACAGAAAGAATCCAAATCTGCAGATTCCTCTGTAAAATACAGATGGGTATACGAGAATCCCAACAAGATTTCAGTTTAAATAAATGAATCTACAAACATATAGAACCATACAGCAAAGAATTTCAAAATTTACAATCATGAATAAATATCAAATGGGTATCATAAATGCCAAAAAAATCAGCTCGAATACACTTCCAATTAAACAAAAATCTTACCTTTTTTAGCCTTATAAGCACGAAATCTAGTTTCTTGATCCTTCAAGACCCATTCTGCCTGTCTCGGACCCAAAGTATTGCCAAGGCAGGACAAATCCCTATACTGGAACTTTGAAAGATGAATGCCTCAAGCCTTAAAAAAAAATATTAAAAAAAAGGCGAATCTTGCTGATTGGTGAGAATAAAAGATGGTATTGTGATAATTTTGCAGAAAGTGAAGCTACAAATATGAGGAACAGAGGAAGAAGACGACTATTTCACTTGGCATTGACAGAGGAGTAATACACAATGCAGAAATAATTGTACCTATTGAGACGAACAAAGCCTATCTTCTGATGGGCCTATTTTTCTTGATGATTGGGCCTTTACACAACCTCTTTGACTAAAATTTTGAGATCTCATTTTTAATTGGGAAAATTATAGAGAAAATGATCGAAATGGTCCTTAACGTATAAGGGTTAAATTATTTTGGTCCTCTATATATATCATCTTATCTAAATAGTCTTTAATGTATACAAAATCCTGATCATTTTAATCCTTAGCCCTAAAACTAACCAAAATGATAAAAAAAATTGTTAACTTTAACAGCGGGTCCCTTGGAATTGAGACCCTTCTTCCTCAATCTACTCTTTCACCATTACCACAAGCACACCCTTTTCCTTAACTTTTTTCTTTCACCATTTGAGGTCAGCTCCATATACACTACACCCATTTCTCATCTCCCTCTAAAAATTCTATTTACATACATAATAATAAGAAGAAAATCAAGATTATCAAAACAAATGGGAACTAAGTAAATTGGATAAAAGTCTCTATTTTTCCTCCGAGGAGATCGCCATAAATAAACTCTTTTTAAGTTGTAACTAGTTGTTCTCTCTTATTAAAGTGATCTATGGGGAGATAGCTATCTTTTCGTTTTAACTTTTTCAAAATTAGTAAGTTTTTCAAGCATTGTTTTTCATTCTATTTTTAAAATAAAAGGGTAAAATTTGAACACACGGATAGAAAATAAAAATCTTACAAATGTTCAATTAAAATTTAAAGAAGCGTTTGTAAGTATGAGAAGATTTTTGGCAGTGGAAATTGTAAAAGAAATGACAACAGAAAGAAGAAGAACGAGAAGAAATGGCGGAAAATGATGATGGAGAAAGAAGGGTTCACCAAGTGTGGGACCCACAGTTAAGTTTAACAAATTTTTTTATTTTTTCTGTTAGTTTTTAGGGCTAGGATTAAAATGATACTCTTTTAGTATACATTAAGGACTATTTGGATAAGATGAAATATATAAAGGATCAAGATAATTCAACCCCTATACATAAAGGACTATTTTGATCATTTTCTAAATTATACAACATAGTAAATATGTGTTATGTATTTATTGTATATAATTATAATTTTAAAAATAATATGATTCACAAATAATCTTTCAATTTTATAACAAAACATCTGTTTATATTCAAAAGTCGTGTTATATAGCGTTAGATATGTCATTGCTCGATCTCACTCTCTTACTTTCCTTTATTTTTCTCTCATTAACTCCAAAATTAAACAATTTGTTTAATTTTCTTCTCGAATCACGTTTTCAAGGTGATTCACTTTCAAAATATTCAAAAATTACGCTCCGATGAAGAAACCTTGACACCAAACCCTAATTTACACCGGAAAACACCAGAGTAGTGGCCATGATGGCCGCTGGCCAACTTTCTCTGGAGGAGGCTGGGCCAACAATAATATCACTGACAAAAGAACCATTGAAGAAGACATATGTGAATATGATCAAGCCCCCCCAAACCTTATATAAACTTATTCCAAAGAAACAAATATTTTATCTGCATGAGGAACCAAGGATATTTTTGGAAGAAGAGGAGGTGGATCAGATGATTATCAAAGAAGATTTATAGTTTGCTGTGATAGGAAAATTTTTGAATGGCTGGCCTGATATTCAAGATTTACGAAAACTGATCTCAAAACAATGTGAACTGAAAGGAGAGGTAAACATTGGACTGTTGAGCAACAAGTATATACTGATTCAGGATTCAAGACTAGAGGACTATGTGAGTCTATTATCGAAGCCACAATTCTATATAACACATAATCAGATGTCGTACCCACTGCGAACACTCAAATGGAATCTGTATTTTGATCCAGCGGAGGAGACATCAACAACAATTGCTTGGATTTTCTTTCCAGATTTGCCACCAATTTTTTTTGGGGAGGAAACATTGTTCTCCGTTGCAGCAGCAGTAGGAAAACCATTGCAAGTGGACTTGGCAAGGGTCAAGGTGGAAGTGGACTTGCTAGGAGATTTTCCGAAAAAAATAAATCTAGGCATGCGGATGAAAACTGGAGAAGTGAAAGAAAAGTGGATAACCATCAAATGTGATTAAGTCCCTAAGTATTGTAAGAACTGTAAGCTTCAAGGGCACAATAAGAATGAATGTTTTATAATTCACCCAGAACTATATCAGGAAACTGAGGGTACTGAAGCATACAAGAAAGAGCAGGCGAGAAGAGGGGATGAAAAATTACCGAAGGAGGACACAGGAAAAGCAAAAGTAGGGGAGAATGAGGTTTTTCAGAAACAGAGGAGAAAAAGCTATCAAAAGGGAGGAAGTCAACCATATAAGGTCAAAGTGGAGAAGAAATGGAACCCCATACCACAAGTGCAAGAAAAGGGGACAGCAACAAGAAACAAATTTGGGGTACTATATGGCACTAAAAAAGATGAGAGGGCAGACAGTGAAAAGGAGAAAAGAGTACAGACCGGTGGGGAGCGAAAAACAAATAATGAGGAATATAACAAAAATATAAAAGTGGTATTGGAATCAGCGGAAAGAAGTGGGGAACAAGTATTAGGGTCCAATAGCAACAACAAGCAACACGATGCTCATAGTTCAGTAAATGATGTAGGCAAAGAGGATAGGCGCAAGGACTCAAAACAATCAGAAAATACTTTCTCTCAACTAGAGGAGTATAAAGATAATGTTGGAGTTACTGATGAAGATGAAGTAGTACCAGTGACTAACCAAGATTTCAAATTAATGGAGGAAGGTGAAATAAACGAAGAAGAAATTGCGCAAGAGAAGGCAAAAATTAATACCCTATCAGAACAAGAAATCAAGGAGAAGCAAAGCACAGATAAAGATGAAATCATAGAGACGAATGTTGAGTATGTGAGAAAGAGTGGAGATCTCTCTCCAAGGCAGATTGGAAACCTGAAAGAGAAGATAAAGAAAGCACCCAAACAGGATCAGCCTCAATCACAAAGAAATACAAGGAGTAAAAAGGGGTCCTCTTTTACATCGGATTAATGATTAACAAGGTTATATTTTGGAATATCAGATATGTAAGAACTCAAAAGGCGTTTGAGAGATTAGTAGATCTACATAAAAGACATCACTATTCTTACATTGCTTTGTTAGAACCTTTTCAAAGTCCATATGAATTAGAAACATACAGGAGAAAATTAGGGCTTCCTAATGCTAGGCCAAATAGTTCAGCAAAAATTTGGGTCTTCTTGGAAGATGGTTGGGTGGAGACAGATTCAACATATACATGTCAACAGTTAACAATGAAGTACCAATTAAGGGGAACGGATGATAAATTCACAGTAATGACAGTGTGTGTAAGGTGTAGTGCTTTGGACAAACTGGAGCTATGGGAAGATTTGGAAAATATTATTGATCACACTATCGGCCCTTGGTTGGTGGGAGGAGATTTCAACACTATAATTGATGAGTCTGAGAAGCTGGGTGGACTGCCAGTGACTAACTAAAAGACGATAGAATTTGCATCTCGTATTAGCGCATATTCTTTGAATGAGCTAAAATTTATTGGAAGTTGTTACACTTGGTGGAATGGTCGAATAAAATATGATTGCATCTTTAAGAGACTGGATAGGGTTTTTGGGAATAATGATTTTATGCAGTTATTACCTAATAGTGAGGTTCATCACTTAATTAGGCACGACTCAGATCATGCACCATTACATGTGATATGTAATGCATTACATGAACAAATTGTGAAGTCGTTTAGGTTTTTGAACTTTCGGACAAAGCACAAGGATTTTTAGAATGTAATGAATGAATGCTGGAATGAAGAAGTTCTGGGGTCCCCTTTTTATATTGTCCATACCAAACTGAAGAAGATCAAAAATGTATTGACATCTTGGAGTAAGAGGACTTTTGGCAATATTTTTCAGAAAATTGCCACTTTTGAAGATATAGTGAAAGCCAAGGAAATGCAGTTAGAAATTTCTCCAACAGAAAAGAATAGGAGCTTACTAAACAAGGCGGAGGCAGATTTGAAGCAATATCGACATATAGAGAAGGAGTAATAGAGACAGAAAGCTAGAATGAAATGGTACATTGATGGAGATAAAAACACCAAGTTTTTCTATAGTTATGTGAAGGGAAAGAAAAGAAAGCTTCATATTAAGGAGATTCAGACAAGGCAGGGAGATATCATTAGCAACTCTCAGAATATAGGTTAAGAGGTAGTCAATGTTTTTAAGAAACAGTTCATGGAATAT